CCCACACCATCCATGCTTCCCTACACTCCCTCTCTCTCCACTTCCACCTCCCCTGACAACACCTTCCACCACTGACCCCACCTGCCTCCTTCCACCACCTGCCTCCCCTGACACCTTCCAACACCTGCCTCCCCTGACACCTTCCACCACCTGCCTCCCCTGACACCTTCCACCACCTGCCTCCCCTGACACCTTCCAACACCTGCCTCCTTCTGACACCTTCCACCACCTGCCTCCCCTGACACCTTCCACCACCTGCCTCCTTCTGACACCATTTTATCACCCTTCAACCATTTCCACCACCTCACACCACCTGCCTCCCCTGCCACCACCTGCCTCCCCTGACACCACCTGCCTCCCCTGACACCTTCCACCACCTGCCTCCCCTGACACCTTCCACCACCTGCCTCCCCTGACACCTTCCACCACCTGCCTCCCCCTGCCACCACCTGCCTCCCCTGCCACCACCTGCCCCCTCTGCCACCACCTGCCCCCTCTGCCACCACCTGCCTCCCCTGACACCACCTGCCTCCCCTGACACCACCTGCCTCCCCTGACTCCACCTGTCTCCCCTGATACCACCTGCCTCCCCTGACACCGCCTGCCTCCCCTGACACCACCTGCCTCCCCTGACACCGCCTGCCTCCCCTGACACCACCTGCCTCCCCTGACACCGCCTGCCTCCCCTGACACCGCCTGCCTCCCCTGACACCGCCTGCCTCCCCTGACACCGCCTGTCTCCCCTGACACCGCCTGCCTCCCCTGACACCGCCTGCCTCCCCTGCCACCACCTGCCTCCCCTGACACCGCCTGCCTCCCCTGACACCGCCTGCCTCCCCTGACACCGCCTGCCTCCCCTGACACCGCCTGCCTCCCCTGCCACCGCCTGCCTCCCCTGACACCACCTGTCTCCCCTGACACCACCTGTCTCCCCTGACACCGCCTGCCTCCCCTGACACCACCTGTCTCCCCTGACACCGCCTGCCTCCCCTGACACCGCCTGCCTCCCCTGACACCGCCTGCCTCCCCTGACACCGCCTGCCTCCCCTGACACCACCTGTCTCCCCTGACACCACCTGTCTCCCCTGACACCGCCTGCCTCCCCTGACACCACCTGTCTCCCCTGACACCGCCTGCCTCCCCTGACACCACCACAAATGATGCCAGCCATCTCACCAAGGCCTAACGTTCACACGACCTGTGCTTGTTTTATTGGCCTACTCAAATATAATAATAAAATATTGTCTGTTTTGAAGTTTTATTCATTTTATACAGTACAGTATACTGTATTAATACCTAATGTATTACAGGACAGTACTGTATTAATACCTAATGTATTACAGGACAGTACTGTATTAATACCTAATGTATTACAGGACAGTACTGTATTAATACCTAATGTATTACAGGACAGTACTGTATTAATACCTAATGTATTACAGGACAGTACTGTATTAATACCTAATGTATTACAGGACAGTACTGTATTAATACCTAATGTATTACAGGACAGTACGTAGGCTGCTAGAGGGAGGGAGGGATCCAGGAAACCCCCTCCCCCTCCCACCCACCCACCCAATGGCTCAAGGAGCGATGTTATCTACACCCCAATTGTATTAAAAATTCTGTGAAAAGGAAATGTGTTTCAAACTGTTTAAAATATGTACTGTATATATCACAATATGACATTTTTCTAATAAGAAGGCTATTTTCAGTGTAGATAATGCGATAATTATAATTAAATTGACTCGTGGCATCTGACGACAAGAGGAGAGAAGAGGAGTTAGTGGTCTCTGGTGGTCAGGTGCAGGAAGGAGGGGGAGCATGGAGGCGCCAGTCACGTGTTGCCTCTACAGCCTCTACTGACACCACTCTTACTCCAGCTTCCCCTGACAACTTCTACCACTGACAACCAGCCTCTACTGACACCACTTGCCTCCTGGCAACAACTCTCTCACCAATGCCCCCCTGACACCATTTTATCGCCATTTCAGCTGGTTGTCAGCTGCCTGGCTGACAACCTGCCTCCCATGAGAATACGTAACTTACACCACCTGCCCCCTAACAAAAACCCCTAACTACTGACACCACTAGCCTCCTCACAACAACTCTCTCACCAATGCCTCCCCTGACACCATTTTATCACCATTTCTCCCTAGAAACAATGGGTAAGGATAATAAAACACTATATAACTGTTTACACTCTGGCGAATCATAGTTGAAGACAGCCAGCTCCGACGCTCGGCCTCGGTGACCGCTTGGATGAACATTCCTCGCTTAATCGAACATTTGTATGTTCCACTGAACATTTGGTACCGAATTCAATTTGTTCGGCTCTTCCGGGAATTCGATAGAGTGGGGTTCATTAGACTGAGGAAGCACTGTATAATGTGTGTATATATAGGTTAATAACACCACAAACAGTATTGTTAGAAGAGAAATTTTAGTGCATCTGACCTTGAATGTGTGAGGGAGGTAGAAGCCAGCTGACTGTGTAGCGACATCTCTTAGTGCCTGAACTAACTATATCAGCTTAGTTGTACAGTTGTGGTGAACAAAACATGTAGATACTTATATATAACGTCTGTATAAAGTGAATAAAAGCAAAAACAGTATGGTGGGAGGAGAATGTGGGCGAGTGAGGTGTTGAGGGAGTGAGTGGCAGCGAGTGGCTGACTGGTGTGTGGCAGTCACTCCTCGTTGCTTTTTGACTCATAATTCCAACTTTGTTGTTCGTTATGGAGAACAAAACATGCAGATACTTATATATAACCTGTGTATATAGTGTGATAACTGACAAAGTATTTGTTCACTGTTTGATGAACATAATTGAATCAACAATATGCACACCATAATGTTGAGTGAAGCGATGATTCACACATTTTATTATATAAATATATCACACTACACACTATTGAATAATATTACAGCAAAAAACTATGAAAAATCAATCAGAGACATTGAAATAATTAGGTAATTATCTCTTTGTGGCCACTCCTGCCTGACAGCTTAGGAGGAACAGACCACCTGGGACGCACGCTGAGTCAGCGCCTGATTTTTCCAGACTTACCCGTACTATAGCGGGCAATATATGCCACTTAGGATTTCCTCCCCCCTACCCCCCCATGATCAGAGAACACAAATTAACAGGTTTACAAGATTTTTTTTTTTTTATGCCCCTGTGGGGTGACATGCCCTAGACCCTGAGCAACACAAGGGTTAACCCTCAAACCGCGCATATCATATATAAATGATATCAGTGACAAAACCGAAACCGCGCTCATCATTTATATATGATTTCGTGTCTTGCGCTATAATTTAAACTCCCCGCCTGGGATAGGGGCAGCTATAGTACAGCCACGACCGATAGTTGCCAGATGCCACCTTGGAAAAAAATCCAGGCCAACATTCTTGGGTGTTACAGCGTCAGTATTGAGCAAGCCACCAAGGCTGGCGCACGCAGCACGAGCTCACAGCACCGCTGTTCAGCTTGTGACCACAGCATCGCCTACAAATACCATAATATATATGATACTGCTATTATTTAGCAGTGATAGTATTACTGAAGCCCCCTGACTGTGATAAAACTGACCAGGATTCTGATAATAACAGGATTGTGGTGATATTTAACGCTGTGCTCCATGGAGGGAGGAGTAATGTTGTGGGAGGGAGGGTTGTGGCGTCGTCTTCTGACTGTGTGTGGCCACCATTTATTGACTGCACTCACCATACCAGCTTAGTGGTTCGATATGGTGAACACAAATGTAGATACTTATATATAACGTGTGTATAGTGTTAGATAACAGCGAGAGGAGTAGGTTGGGAGCCGCCATTTTGGTGAGGGAAGAGCGTCGTCTGCACGTCTTGGCATCGTGTTTACTGATGACCACTATGGTCTTTGGGCACCATACCAGCTTATTTGTACAGGTATAGTGAATAAAACAGGTAGATACTTATATATAATATGTGTATATAGCGTAATAACACCACAAACAATATTGTTGCAGGACAAATATTAGTGCGTCTGGCCTTGAGGGCGGCCGCCGATCAGCTGACGGTGTGAGTAGCTTCGTCTTTGTGGCCTTTACTCACCATACAAGCTTAGATGTACAGTTATGGTGAACAAAACATGTAAATACGTATATATAACGTCTGTGTATAGTGAATAAATACAGAAAGAGTATTGTGGGGGGTGAATGAGGGTGAGTGAAGTGGTGTTGAGGGAGGGAGTGGCTCGCTGGTGTTTGGCGGTCACTCCTCGTTGCTTTTTGACTCACAAGACCAACTTAGTAGTTCGTTATGGTGTACAAAACATGCAAATACTTATATATAACCTGTGTATATAGTGTAACAACAGCAAAACTATTTGTTTATTCTTTTATGAACATAATAAGTGAATCACTAATATGCACACCATAATTTTGAGTACAGCGATGGTTCACACATTTTATAATATAAATATACCACAATTCACTGTATGGAATAATATTACTGCAAAAAAACTAAGAAAAAAATCAATCAGAGACATTGCCATAATTAGGTAATAATATATTTGTGGCAACTGCCGTCTGACAGCTCGGGCGGAGTAGACCTCATCTGGCGAAGGCTCTGCCAACGCCCCTTTTTGGCCACACTTCCCTACCCTATTGCGGCTAAAATATGCCACCTACGATTTTTTTGTTATTTTTTGCGTGATCAGGGAACAAAAATGAACACTTCTATAAGACAAAAGAATTTTTTTGAATTTTTTTTTTTGTTGCGCCTGTGGGTGTGAATTCCATTTGGGCCCCTAGCGGTTTGAGGGTTAAGGAAAGTATTGTATCCGAGCAATTGTTGTATAGCTGTGTGATGGTCATTTACGTAATCTTGTTTTACATTGCCCCGTTATGATGCAGGCGCACTAACCAAAATGGGTAAGCTGAATTATTAATGCTTACGCCTTTACTTTGAATATACTAAGTGTGTAATTCACAGTGCACTACTTATCCCTTCTTTGACAGGTACCATACCAGAGGAAGACATTGGATGAACCGTAGTACCATGAGGTTTTCTTAGGTCATCGTTACAGTGTCCACCAGCCAGGGTCCTTATACGCGTATTGATGGAGTTCAGGGCTTCTTGTCAGGCCGTTACGACTTTTGAGCTAAGCCTTTAATTGTTCACTCACTAATATATAGATAACTAACATTTGCAGTCTTGTTACCCACCTCTGGTGGTATAGATTATGAAAGTAAAACCCTCTCAAATTTGTGGATTGGGTAACACCTGGCAGGATCTTATCTTAAATCTACAGTCCATTTAAAATTACTTGAAAATACAGTCCAATTTACTAATCTTTGATTATTTAAATTAAATTAAGAAAAGGAAATTCCCACACTACGGGAATGTCCCAATAAATGCTCCGCATTTATTGGGACAGTGGTTAAACAACAAGCCACAAGGCTTGGAAACCACAGATGAGCCAATCATCACAAGCCTCAAATATCACGACTATCACCTTGACTAGAATGGGGTGAAGATAACCAGAGAAAAGAGATAAAATCCAATTACCCTTGTCCAAATGAAGAGCGCCCACTGCAAAGACCTTGCAATGCAGAAATTGACAATATACACAGGAAACTGCCAATGTCTCTCAAAAGCTGCCAGGTCTAACTGCATGTGATCAAATGTTTTGCACAGCTAATGGAAAAACAGGTCTGTGACCATCCACTTTGTCAAAATTGATTTTACCGAGAGACATCTTCCATGTGTATATTCAATAATACTCCTGGACATGAAAGACATGGAGAACTAAACCCCAAAAATCCAAAACCGAAAAATCCTGTGACATGGGAAGAAACTGACTGCAACTATCTGAGTTCAGACAAACCACCACCACCAGGAAGCAGTCAAGAGTGCAGCAGGATCACATAGCCCCTGGGAAGACAAATGCCTTGCAGGGTGACCAAAATAACAGGCAGCTCACGAATTGTGATGTGCACCCACTGCAGAGGAAGAAACCAATGAATCTGACTGGCAAGATGATTGCTGATGGCAAAACCCCAGTGGAGAGCTGAAATGACTCCCCTGCCAACGCTCCACGAACAACTGGAGCGTGAGCAGGGCAGAGTAACATGAACCCCCCATACTACTTGAAGCTGATACCCAAGACAAAGCAGTCTTCTCGGGGCCTTCAGGATCTGCATCCAATGATCCCAACAGTGGTGAAATAGATCTTAGCTGGGAGTTTGTGACCAGTGCTCAACACGTTACAGTTTGGCATGCTCTGCTGAGCTTCTCTTCCTTGGGGCTATATAATCCATTTTCACTCCAACTGCATTCTGGAATTTTGTTGTATGAACCAGAGCGATTAGTTCAGTTCCATCGAATGTGGGGTAAACTCTGCAAGTAGCCTATCAAATGGATTATCTGGGTTTGTCTCTCCAGGCAGTTGACATGCATGGAGTACCAAATATGCTCCCAGATAATCGTTCTCGGTTTCGTCCCATTTCGACATAGTGGATGATCAACAATACATGTATCCACTATATTTGTGAGATATTTGGTCTTGCCAAATCATATCAAACCCACCATATCAGACATTCTCTCCTTATAAACTTTTATCAGTTCCATCTGATCATTATTTTCTCCCTTCACATTCCACACTGCCAGCCTTTGTTCTTAAGGCCCTGAATAGGTGAGCCCTCATCTTAATCTTTCCAGCCCTTTATTGCAGGTGAGCAAGACTAATGGCACCACACTGCCATAGCTAGTGGGGTTGCCACATCACTTATCCTAATGGTGACATGACTCATTATCATTTTGGATTATCATTTCAGTTCATTGAAGTTTGAATATATTGTCAGTAAAGTGTGATGTAATCTGTTGTGCATCTGATGTATATCAGCAGCGATCCATCCTATGCTTGATCCATCTTTTATATGACAGATACTTTACTCTTGACATGTGGAGTGTTTTGTTTGCAAATTTTGATTAACATGCTGCAAATTTTTCAGATTACTTCCTACATCATCCCGGTTTACACACAGCTGTAATGATCATCCTGACATTATGGAATTGAAATGCTTTTCTTAATTATGTCAAGATAAATGTTCAGAGATATGAAGTGACATTGCTGACAGTTCCCCATATGCTGAAGATGAGGACAGTGTAATATACCTTCTTCATTCACTCCTCATCTTCCTTCCTTTAATCAAAATTAAGATAATTTGAGCGCTTAGTAAAAGGTGTGCAATCTAATTGGCAATCTAACATGGAGTCAATGTAAATTTATAATTTTTTTTTTATAATAAGCAGAACAAGTATTTGCAAGGTTATTTAAATTGCTAGTAGATAGTTGAGAGTTTTTATGAGTTAATTAACAAGCTTAAGATGAATATAATCTTGTATTGATTTCATATTGACTACTAAATTATCCTTTTTGTAAGGTGAGATAACGTAAGATAACATTTTTGGTCACAAGAAATAATACACTTCATTTTCTGGGTATCTCACAAAATTATCACATTTAGCCAATTAATTATATTACATCAAAAGATGACAACTTACACAGCTATAAAACCATTTCATTGTTCAGTGTGTCCAAAAGCCTTTTTACTAAAATCATATTTAATGAGACATATGCATACTCACTCAGGAGAAAAACCTTATCATTGCACAGAATGTCTAAAAGATTTTTTAATAAAATCACAATTAGCAGCACACATGCGTACTCACACAGGAGAGAAACCATATCAATGTACAATGTGTGAGAAAAACTTTTCACATAAAGGTACTCTAGTTTATCACATGAGAAATCACACAGCAGAAAAACCATATCAATGTTCAGACTGTTTAAAAGAATTTAAACATGGAAATGATTTAGTACGTCACTTAAGAACTCATTCAGGAGAAAAACCATATCAGTGTTTGGAATGTTTAAAAAGATTTACACAAAGGACAGTTCTAGTAACACACATGCGTATTCACACAGGAGAGAAACCGTATCAGTGTTCAGTGTGTTTAAAAGACTTTAAATGCAGACCTGATCTAGTACGTCACATGAGAACTCATACAGGGGAGAAACCATATCAGTGTTTAGAATGTTCAAAAAGATTTTCACAAAAATCAAACCTAATTACCCACGTGCGTACACATACTGGAGAGAAACCACATCAGTGTTCAAAGTGTCTAAAAGACTTTTCATCTAAAACTGATCTAGCCCGCCATACAAGAACCCATACAGGAGAAAGACCATATCAGTGTTTAGAATGTCTAAAAAGATTTTCACAAAAGACAGTTCTAGCAACACACATGAATATTCACACAGGAGAGAAACCATATCAGTGTTTGATGTGTTTTAAAGACTTTAAAGATAAAGCACATCGAGCACGTCACATGAAAACACACAGAGAAGAGGATCAATATCAGTGTTTAGAATGTCTTAAAAGGTTTACACGAAAGGCAAATCTAACACTACATATGCGTATTCATACAAAAGAGAAACCATATCCATGTTCAGTGTGTTTTAAAAAGTTCCAGTGTAAATCAAATCAAGTACGTCACATGAAAATTCACACACGGGAGAAACCATTTCAATGTTCAAAATGTCTTAAAAGATTTTCACAAAAAACACATCTTATAACACACATGCTTATTCACACAGGAGAGAAATCATATCAGTATCAAAGTGTATAAAAGACTTTACAAATAAAACAGTTTAGTAATAATAGGAATAATTATAAAGAAAAGAAACTATATCAAAGTTCAGTGTGCCTAAATGACAAACTAAATTTAATTGTAATATTTAATTATTACTAATTTAATAGTTATTACATATTTACTAATTAAATATTGTACAGTGTGTCCTCACTTGAACGAACTGTATGGGGCGAAGCCGATTCGTTCTAGTGCGGATGGCGTTCCATCCATCCGGCCACAAAATACCCCCTTTCCCCCCCCCCCCAATATTTTTTTTTAAAGCTTACCTAACTTATGTAATCTCTCTAAATCTAAAATCTAGTTTCTAAATCTAGCAATAAATTGTTAATGTGTTTTACTGTACTTTACCAGTTGAGTTGTGTAGTGCAGACTTTTAACCTCAATACCCTGAGAGTGCCAGATATGATAGGAATATAAATTCATTAACCCTTCAATTGCGCATCGCATCATATGATGCTTTGACCGACTTGCAGTAAATTGCGCATCGCATCATGTGATGCTTTGGAGTACTGTACTACGCAAGATTTAAACGGCCTGCGGATACACGGGGTTCACCACACCTTCATCAGGGCTCTTGTAAACAGACCCCATTTTTAAAAAAAATCGTGGCCCAAACTCCCGGGTGTTATTGGCCTCAGTATTGAGTGAGCAACCAAGCCTGACGCACGCAGCATGAGCTAACAGCACTGCTGTTCAGCTTGTGACCACAGCATCACTTAAAAATGCCAAAATATACTTGTTCATGCTATTATGTAGCGATGATATTATTACAGAAGACCCCTCCCTGACTCTGATAAAACTGACCAGGGTTCTGATAATAGCAGGATTGTGGTGATATTTAGCGCTGTGCGCCATGGAGGGAGGAGTAATGCTGTGGGAGGGGGCCTGGTGGCGATGTCTTCTGACTGTGTGTGGCCACCTTTTATTGACTGCACTCAGCATACCAGCTTAGTGGTTCGCTATGGTGAACACAAATGTAGATACTTATATATAACGTGTGTATAGAGGGTATAAACAGCAAGAGAAGGTTTGGAGCCGCCATTTTGGTGAGGGCGGTGGCTTCGTCTGCACGACACCACCGTGTAGACGACGGTGTTGTTTACTGGTTACCACGATAGTCTTTGGGCACCATACCAGTGTATTTGTACAAGTATGGTGAATAAAACAGGTAGATATTTATATATAATGTGTGTATATAGCGTAATAACACCACACAGTATTGTTGGAGGAGAAATATTAGTGCGTCTGGCCTTGAGGGCGGCCGCGGTCCTACGTCTTTGTGACTTTACTCACCATACAAGCTTAGATGTACAGTTATGGTGAACAAAACATGTAGATACTTATATATAACGTCTGTATATAGTGAATTATAGCAAAAACATTATTGTGGGAGGAGAATGTGGGCGAGTCAGATGACTGGAGGGAGGGCGGGAGTGGCTGGCTGGTACAGGGCGGTCACTCCTCGTTACTTTTTAACTCATAATTGCTACTTAGTGGTTTGTTATAGTGAACAAAACATGCAGATACTTATATATAACCTGTGCTTATAGTGTAATAACCGACAAAGTATTTGTTCACTGATTGATGAACATAATTGAATCAACAATATGCACACCATATTTTTGAGTACAGCGATGATTCACTCATTTTATTATATAAATATATCACACTACACACTATTGAATAATATTACAGCAAAAAAAACTACGAAAAATCAATCAGAGATATTTAAATAATTAGGTAATTATCTCTTTGTGGCAACTCCGGCCTGACAGCTGGCGATCAACAGACCGCCTGGGAAGCATGCCGAGTCAGCGCCTATTTTTTGCCAGACTTCCCCGCCCTATAGTGGGCAATATATGCCACTTACGATTTTTTTATTTTTTTTTCTGTGATCAGTGAACACAAATTAACAGGTTAGGAAGCAAATATAATTTTTTTTTTTTTTTTTTTTTTTTTTTTTTTTTTTTTTTTTTTTTTTTTTTGGTATGCGCCAGTGGGTGTTATATGGTATATAGCTATGCGCCATTTAAGGGTTAAAGAACTAACTTTTCTAACAAATGTACATTGTACATTACAGTCTGTACATAAAGTACAGACCACTGGAATCACACTACTGAAGTAAATGTATACAGTACTATATCACTTAAACTACATTTTTTACACTTTGTACATTTATGTCATTAGAACTGTGCTGTAAAACTACATTTTTTACACTTTGTACATTTATGTCATTAGAACTGTGCTGTACAGCTCAATTGGCACTCCCAGGTAAGTTATGGCTAGTGCTGGGTGCTGGTTCAGTTGCCTGGGCATCCTCAGGCGAGTCCTTGCTGGTGCTGGTCCATTTGCCTGGGCTTTCTCAGGTGAGTCCTTGCTGGTGCTAAGTTCTGATCCAGTATCCTGGGCATCCTCTAGGCGAGTCCTTGCTAGTGCTGAGTGCTGGTCCAGTTGCCTGGGCATCCTCAGGTGAGTCCTTGCTAGTGCTGGGTGCTGGTCCAGTTGCCTGGGCATCTTCAGGTGAGTCCTTGCTAGTACTGGATGGTGGTCCTGTAGGCCTACTGTTAAACTGTACCAAAAACTTTTGAATCTTAGTTTGTTTCTTCGTTGTGAGCTTCTTTTTTCATTATAATATCTTTCATGCCCTTTAGGTGTAGATAATAATCTGCCAGCTCTTCATCATCAGTTACAGCAACCATATCAAGCAGATCATTTACCTTTTGTAAGGATGCAGCATATGGAATAGGTAACATGCTATCGTCCTCCTCTTCCACATCCTCATCAGCATTACCAGTAATACACTGGATCATCTCATCATCAGTTAATTCACCATAACCTGGATCATCAGCATCATTATCTAACCACTCAGTCACATCAGAAAGTTGCAAATCTTCCTCGCAAGCATCTCTTAATGTCTCAAAAATCACATTATCAAAGCCCTCAAAATCACGGTCATCTTCGGCTTCATTCTCACCAGGTACCGGACTCAGAATTTTATTCCATGCATTCTTTAATGTGGTGACCTTCAACTCGTTTCATTGTTTGGCCCAGTTGTAAATTGCATCTTTAATGTAATATTTCTCGAAGTTTTCCTCGTCTTCCTCAGAGAGGACAACTTCCATAATGTCTACATTCATAGCTCTCTTATAAGCCGTTTGAGAGCATAGATAACCCCCCCTGATCCATGGGCTGTATTAGAGATGTAGTGTTTGGTGGTAAAGCCATATATGTTATTTTGCCATCAGGCGATGTTAATTTAGCAATGGGGTGAGCTGGGGCATTATCAACCAACAGCATTGCCTTTACATCAGCAGGATGAATGCCACGCTCATTGATCTGATGCTTTCTTACTTCTTTAGAAAAGTGGTTCTGGAACCAGTCTTCAAAAATATTCTGTGTGAACCAGGTATTTTTTGTGTTGTAGTAAACGACAGGTAGTCTGTTAGGTAGTTTTTCAATGCTCTGGGGTTGGCAGATTTTCCAACAATTGCGCACTTTGTTCGGTGACTGCCATCTGCGTTACCGCACAATAATGCTGAAATTCTTTCCTTGCTTACCTTGCGACCAGGAATATTCTCCTCAAGCCTAAAGGCCAAAGTGTTTCTTTGAAGGCATTTCCAGTTAAAGCCTGTTTCATCTGCATTGTACACTTGAAACCAGCTTAGATTATTAGATATGTGCTGAGAAAGTTTAAGCATAAATGCATTAACACTTCCAACATCTGCACTTAATGCTTCGCCACAAAATTTTCTTGTTAATGATGCCATTAGCCTCTTATTAAATCGACATACCCATCCAGTGCTAACCTTAAAATTGTCTATGTTTAACTTTTCAGCAAGTCTTTCAGCTGCATTTCTAATAGAATCAACTGAAACAGCAATTCCTTTCGCACGATGCTGTGTAAACCATTTGAATACAGACGAGTCCAAATCCGTATATTTAACAGGCTTCAATGATTTCCTGTTGCCTATTGCATGAGTTTGACTTTGAGCAAAGAATTTCCTAATAGTATCCTTCTGCTCTTTTATATCACAAACTGTAGCTTTACCGATGTTGAATTCTTGGGCGAGACGGGTGACAGAGTATCCACGCTCTGCTTTCTCTATTAAATCAATTTTCTGATCAATGACAAATATTTTCTCTTTCGTTTTAAATCTTGAATACCATAAATGCTGCTCTGAGACATCTTGACAGATTATAAGAGTTCAAACAGTAAAAATTGTTCAAAATTATCCTTCGCACGTGAGCAACACGTTTTCACACTAGGAGGAGGGGAGACAAATGGTGCCAGCCACCTCACCAAGGCCTAACGTTCACAAGACCTGTGCTTGTTTTACTGGCCTACTCAAAATTTAATCTAAATATACTTACAAAATTGTTTTGTTTAAAATAATAATGTTGTTATAAATAATAAAATATTGTTTGTTTTGAAGTTTTATTAATTTTATACAGTACAGTACTGTATTAATACCTAATGTATTATGTAGGCTGTTAGAGGGAGGTTATCTTGAGGTTATCTTGAGATGATTTCGGGGCTTTAGTGTCCCCGCGGCCCAGTCCTCGACCAGGCCTCCACCCCCAGGAAGCAGCCCGTGACAGCTGACTAACACCCAGGTACCTATTTTACTGCTAGGTAACAGGGGCATAGGGTGAAAGAAACTCGGCCCATTGTTTCTCGCCGGCGCCTGGGATCGAACCCAGGACCACAGGATCACAAGTCCCGCGTGCTGTCCGCTCGGCCGACCGGCTCCAAGAAACCCCCTCCCCCCTATGGCTCCAGGAGCGACACACTACTGCAACCCATCCTCTGAATTGACAGTACGATTTAATACTAAGTGTAATAAGTACATTTCCTTACTGGCATACATAGTACATAATTGCACTTATGGGGCTGTTACATTTACCTCCCCATTTATTCTCGTTTTCTGTTAAGACACTCAGAATTTTAGGATGAAGTTTTCAAGTTGAAATTGCTATACACAAGTTTTGAATATCGAATTTCATTTTCAGTTTTATTAAACAATAGAGATCTTATACAAAATTGGGAAATATCCTGAGTTACTTTACAATTTATTGATATATTTTACTTTTGTTTTATAAAACTATAATATCAATATAAATATAGGTTAAGTACTAATTGTAATTAAGAAGCAATACAATTATTATCTGCAAAAACCCCCCTCCGTGTTCATCTGGTTGTTGTCGTGAGGGGGGCTTGGTGGGTGGCTGCCGGAGTGTGATGCTCCTTGGGACAGTCCTCTGCCCTTTAGTAGCCTTGTGCTCCTGCTGCTGTCCTCTCTAATTGTGCTGAATGACTTCCTTGTTTCATTTTTCTCCCCCTCTTCTCCTATCTGCTTGTCGTTTCCTGCCGACCTTTTGCTTGTTTTGGTTATTCCTTTGGACTTCTTCTATTTTGACGCCCGGGTGCTTGAGGAGGCATACTCTTGCATCCGTAGAACTGTAGTACCCAATGTCTCGAGCGAGGGGAACCTTTTATTGTCAGTCCCCCTTTCGTCGCTGAGCCCGAT